TGCCATACGAGGAGGAAGACAGCTAATCAGATCTAAACTGCCATGTAAATAAAGAGACAGAGATTTAAGAACCTTTTAGATGCAAGGAGGTGTGGAGGCAACGCTGCATGTGCTACTGAGTCTGTCTGTGTCATCTGTTTAGGTGAAATAACGCTGCACTGAAATGGTATTCAACACCCACAGCACATCATTGCACACAAGATGATTTTATTTGTGTGTGTGTGTGTGCACCACCTCAACTCTTTGGGCCTAAAGCAAATACTGAAGCTGTTCATATGAGCTCCTTGTGTTGCACTACGACCTTGTAATCAAAATAAAAATCAATGCTGTGTCCGCCCTAAAACAGCTACTTCTCCCGGACACATTATCTGGTTAAACTTTCAAAAAGCATCGTGAATAATTCTGCCACAGCTCATTCGCATCCAACTTTCTTCAGCTTTGAGCATCGATCCAGAGCCAAACTGAAAAATCGATGCAATGGACATTTCACTCGGGTTTGCTACCTTTCCGGAGAGACGTATTGATTACTGTAGCGCTTTACATTGATTTATGTAGACTTGTCTATCCTTCCATAATCAACTTGTTGATTTAACCACGCCAAAAGTTCCCCTTGAATTTTGATTGGCTTAGAAAAACAATGTGGATCCGGCGGAGTGATAACCCTCAGATTGTCATTCCGTCTCGTGAGTGTGGCTTTAAATTTGAAACAAGGTGTGAGGTGATTTTATTTCATTCAAGGGCTTCATTATATTGCTTGTAAATGTCTCGCTCATTGTCTCCGTAGAGTAGCAACATGTTGACTTTCTGTTTGATCAATGACATGCACTAAACCCCCAGTCCTCGTCACACCTTGGTCAGAGTGCTTCATCAGCAAAACAGGAGCTTTCTATTGCTTTTTTCCTATGGGAAAGGTACATACCAAAATGCCAATACGATTGTGAATGACGTCTATTTGAGTCAATGGCTGTTGTGTGCTTCAATACTGTTTTGGTGCAATCATTTGTTCCTCTTCTCTCTTCCTTTGTGCTAATACCAGATTTTGCCCTATTAAGCTGCTATTAGGACCATGCTGATATATATATATATAAATATATATGTATATGTGAATGAGTCCACAGCCAATGAAAACAAGATGCGAATGAGAGTCAAAGAGCTAACGTTTAAGGCTACATCAGGCACCGTCTCCGTTTCACTGCATCCATCCAATAAGATACTGTAGTGTGTCACTCGCTCCCACTCAAAGGATGGCATCCTGGGACACTCAGTACCGCTCTGCTAGAACCCTCGGCTATCAGGCTGATACGGACCTGGCTAAGCACAGACTCTGTCAGATTTCTGCCCGGTGTCTGCATCACAAGTGTGTCCAGTCAGACCAAGGTTGACAGGCTGCGTGTGATACAGTCCTGTGTTTGCCCTAATGACGAGGGGTTCAAAGTTCAACCCAGTAAATGGTTCTTCACCTGGACCTGGCTGTATGAACAGAAAACCTTCACACATGTTTGACACTCACTGACAAAAATCATCGTAAAGCCTTTCATTCTCTCTGGATCAGATAGTAAAGGTACTGAATGCCTTGGTGTTGATATGTTAGCAAATCAGGGTATTTTTTTTGTTGTTGTTTTGTTTGTGGAAGTGTGTGTCTATCAGTTATTTATTTATTTATTTGGTTGTTGTTTTTACAATGTGCCCCATGCACATGGACTGTACATACGCTGTGCCTAGTATATCTAGTTTCCACATAGTCTATTTTTGTGGTATGTATGTGCCTGTAAAAATGCAAATAGGTGTTTGTTTGTTTTTTTTTCAACCTGCAATATGTATGTAAAAAAAAGAAAGAAAAACACGGGATAAAGATTAGTAATGCTGAATTAAAATGACAATGTCAGTATATATAATTTTCCCTGATTTGGGAAACACAAAATTGCACATTTTTGTTGGTTTGAGCCTTCCAACACCATGCGCGCTGTACTCTGTACTTTTCTTGTTCTGTACATATGGTATACACAGAGATGTGGGGCACATTGTTGTGTTTTTATCACAACCTGCTGTATAAGAAACATTTTCTACGGTGTGTGGGTGAGTTCTGACAGGCTCCTGGTGGATATTGGCAGTCGAGACGATACGTTAGTTGATCTGCTTGTTGCACAGAACCAAAAATGACAAAACAAAACAAACAAAAAAAAAAGAGAAGAAAAGAAACTAAAACTGTGGAGATGCCTGCACAATAACAGCAGAAACAGAACTTGGTTGTGCACATGCTGGAAAATCTCTCTCTCTCTCTCTCTCTCTCTCTGTCTCTCTCTCTCACGACAATGCTGCACAGTTCCTTACGTACACTCAAATGCTGGTTGTCACGAATAAGAAAAAGGAGCCACAGCAGTCATGAGCTCAGCTCTCAGTTGAGATGCAGTACTTTGACAGATAACAACAGAGTGCATGCTTGTATTTTTTCATATCTAAGCAAAGTTCTGTGTTTGATTCTTAGTGGGACCTTCAGATGTAGACATCGTCACGTACCAACTACTGTACAATGATTTGATTTAGTCTAACAGGTAAACCTTCGTGTCGTAGCTACTTTAGCCTGCTTAACTTACCTAAGCCTTTTCTCTGCTTCAGGACGTGTACTGTGTGCTTGAGTTTGTGTGTGCGTGTGTGTACCTGTGCCTTTCCTTCTAAAATGTCGGTCCCACTTGAGAATATAATGCCATTTAGAGGTTTTGGAACTCACATGAAACTAAGAGAGATGCCAGCACAAGCTGTAATGTCGCAACCCAGTTGCAAACTCCACTTGTTTGATGAAAATAGTAATAATTAATGAATTCTGACAACACTGTAATGAGTTTTGCACATCTCTAGACTTAGTAGCATTCCACAGTCCACACCAGCACTTCAGTGTGGGCATCCAAATACACATTACCAGCACCATGTAGACAACAGCACAGACACAGTCCGTGACAGCATGTGTTCTCGCCCTCTCTCTATCTGAAGGCCAGTCTGCCGCCACTTCAGGCTGTGCATGGCTTCTGCTCTTAACAAATAAGGTTCCAATATATCACAACGTCCAAGTCAATGTCTACGATCCAGGGACAAATCAGCACAGAGCCCGAGCCACAGCACTTCCAAATCATCCTTAAAGGTTCAGGTCTGGGCACAGGGCACGACGGTGTCGCTTGTTCTCACACAGGTTCTTTTTGGGTCAGAGATGTAAGGCTGGGAGTGAGGGCTTTGAGCTGATTTGAACCTAAAGGCCGTCTGTCCACCTTCACCTCTGCTGGCCGAGAACACAGAACCACACCCTGGTCTCTCTCAATAAGCTGGTCTGTCAGTCAGTGGCAAGGTTGTTTAAGCGTTTGTTCAAAGAGGATACATTGTTGTGCAATAAAAAGATGGGCGCATTGGCATACTAACCCCGGTGTGTAGACTGTTATTCACTGGAGTCACTACACCATGATGTCTTCATGTGTGTGTGTTTTGGTTTGTGTGTTGAATCTTTGCTGATTTTTCTGGAGATTTTGGAGGCTTAAGTTAGAGTTAGAATAAAAATTATTCTATTTATTTCATTGATCCTGGCACAATAAAATGTTAGTGTTTCAACTGGTCCATTATGTGATTTATAGAACAAGTAATAATCATAAAAAAATTAATTATCACTAATATTTTTATTAGGTTACTAAAAGTGCATATGTTCCTCTGCAGCAATGCAGCCTCTGCCCACGTTTTTTGTTTTTTTTTTTCATTGATCCAGTTATCAATATAGTAGTCATTCTGTGATCTAGTAGTAGGATACAGCTCTGTTAATATTGGAGGGAGTAAAACAAAAGAAGAAGATAAGATGGCAAATAAGTGAGAGGCAGAAAGCACAGGTCATTAAATTCCATTTTAAGAAATGGAATCTTCAGCTGGGGTTTATGTTTCAAACAGTTGACGATTTACCTTTGCTTTATTGTACTAATGCACAAATAATAACATTTTAATGGGCCATGCTATTGTTTTGGTAGTCCCCCTCCAGGAAGGGGGGGTGACTTGACCTAAAATTACGTTTAGCATCAACAGGCTTCAGCTGAGGGTTGGTGAAGAGCTGAAGTTACTGCAGAGTCCTAGAGGCGTGTGCACGTGTGGGAACCTTTCACATGTGTCTTGGTGTTAAATGGGTTGTCGTAAGCACAGTCCTGCACACACACACACACACACACACACCACAACCTTGTAAATCAGCTAGCAACCGGTACACCCTCATCCAACACCACCTCAGATGAGATCTCTCTCTCTCTCTTTCTCTTTCTCTCTCTCTCTGCAGACAGAGGAGCTGCTGCATCCCTGATGAGATGTCTGAGCTCAGTCTAAGAGCTTTCTGCTTGTATGTGTGTGTGTGTGTGTGAAAAGACACAGAAACCTGTTAGTGTATTAATTCCTGGATCAAAAACAGGTGTGTCGACCAACCCTGTGTTTCTATTTCTCGGCTGTATTAAGGGAGTATATGAAGCAGGGGCTGAAGTGTGTGTGTGTGTGTGTGTGTATATGTGGGTAGGTGTGTGTCAGAGCTGAGGGCAGTCCAAGGACACACTCTCCTGTTAGCCTGGAGCAGCACCCACCCGTCCTCTTTCTATTTCTTTTTTGTTTGTACGTTCATGCACACACACACACACACACACACACGTTGCAGCCTGACGGCGTCCACGACGATTATACACGGCACGCTGAGACAAAAAAATTGCACGCGAAGTAGAGGTTTTGACACAGAGCTTGGCTGTGATCTGTGATCAGCCCGTTCAGACGTGACGTCGGCCAACCGCACTGCGTGTACGGAGCTTTACCTTGACGTGACATAACGTCCTTTCTCTCTCTCTCTCTCTCTTTTTTCCACTTCATTGACACCACTCTCGCTCCATTTCATTGTAATTCAGTGAGGGAGTGTACTGATGTTAGTTGCAGGCAGACACTACACCGAGTTGTGACGCTGTACTGTATGTGGTGTAAGTCTATAGTATCTTCCTGTAGATGACCAAGGAACGTCCTCTACCTCCTTCTCTCTGCTGCATCGCTGGACCTCTACGGTGTCCCTGACTGTCCTACTTCAGTTAATCATATCAGCATGTGCCACACTAGCCCCTCAGCTGTTTACCTCTAGAGGGCAATTTTCTGGTTTAGCTCCTCACTAGTATCCATAGAAATGTCCCATCAATTTTATTCCACTATTCTTTGCATCGCTGCACACAATTGGCTCCACTGGAAAACGTAACACAGATTTTAGGCCACTTGTACCTGGAGGAAAAAATATATTTTCACCGGAAAAATGTGTAGGCTGAACAAGTATGACGTCGACGTCTGGGACGGAAACTTGGGAAATTATCTCAGATCCAACAAAAAAAGTGACTTGCAAACTGACTTTAAAAGCATTGACTGAAAGCTAACCCTACTCTACGGACTAGGACCATCACTGGAACATCTGCAGTAGATGTTGGAAAAAAGGAACAACAACTATAATCTACTGTAATCCTGTAATCATCCAAAGCTAACATACAACACACAAATGAGCAAATGGGTAGTAAAATAATTCTTAATGGAAGTCAGAAGAACATCATCAGCACATGGTTCAGTAGCCACAGGTTACAGACTCGCTGTTTTAAATTGTCTTTGTGACTTTTCTTGAGTTTGAAACTGGAAGACTTGACCTAAACTCAGATTAAGCTGCTTAAGCTCTTCCCTGACTCACACTGAACTTTTTTTATAGAAGAGTCGAGTCCATTAGGACAAGACCTGAGGACAAAAAAAACCCTTCATCCTGCTGAGCTTATAGAAGAGTCGAGCCCATTAGGACAAGACGTGAGGACAAAAAAAAAAAACCCTTCATCCTGCTGAGCTTATGAGTCAGTACTGCATTTCTGTATGCTAAATACCAATGATGCCACAACTCCCTGCACTGGGAACATACAGTATATACCACATAGCAAAGATCTGCACTCCAGGATTAGCCATTTGGTCCGAGCTGTGACTCAGTGAGTACGGAAGAGAGAGCAAGAGAGTAACAGGGAGGGAGGAGAGGGAGAGAGGGGATGGAGTAAATCATCTTACTGCCTCGGTCAGTCACGTCACAGAGAGGAAGTGAGAAGTGCGTCAATCTAAAATGATCATGAGGAACTGCACTGTACAGACGGAAAAGGAAGGGTCACGTTGTCCTTCTGGAAAAACGACATTCAAATGCTTTATGGCCAGATCTAGAAGTGCACCTAGAATTATTGTTCAATCGGAACAAGAGGGATTTTGTGGAAAGTCTCGAGCGATACTCACAGAAACACAGTGAGCTGAGTGAATAACAGCATCCGCTGACACAGAAAAAGAAATATTTTTTCGCCTGGCTGCTAGATTACATTTCATCCAAGGACACACATGACCTACAAATCACATACTGTAATTCAGCTCACCGCCGGGTGACACGCTTACTGCACACATGCACAAGATGGGAAACAGAAGACATTCAGTCGTTCTCTACCAAGGAATACCAGGATCTACAGTAACATGAGCAACAAAAAAAACATTGTTTTCACAGTAAAAGCTGAAATAATTGAGTTGTTTTTGAATGTCCATTGTTTTACAACAATTGAAATAATTGAGTTGTTTTTGAATGTCCAATATTTACATGGATTGTGTTTGCACCAAGAATGAAACCTAACCATGCAAGTCATTAGGAAAACAAGTGTATCATTACAAATGCAGCGCAACATTAGGCACTACCTGAAGACACACCGTTGTGTTAACACCAGACCAGAAAAAACACAACCAATAAACCCAAGGACATGGACATGATTTTTAAAAAAATAACAATATATTTGATTTACATTCATTACTGTTTTTTGAAAGGAAATGAATGCGATGAATAACAAGGTCAAACTATCTGTTTGCAATTAGGCTTTAAAAGTGAGATCAATGCCTGAAAGAAAACTGAGAATCATTTATAAAAATGTCAAATAAATTCAGATGAAATGCCAGAAGGGGGATAGAAAGGATTAAAATTAAGAGATTTTTTTATGTTGTTGTGGAGGGCAGCCACTGCAGGTGAATTTAAAGAGGTAAAAAAAAGAGACTTCATGTGAACATGCATCTTTTATATAACTGGATCATATTCATAACCAAAGCTACATGGGATCGACCTGAGTTCTCCTTCAAGCTCATTCTATGAGAACTAACATTTCGCAATCAATATTGGTTTATTATATAATATTGTTTTTATAACGCCACAGAAATGGGAAACAGTAAAGGAGTGAAGAGGAAATTGACTTTTAATTTTCAACAGCTGGTCCTACGCTCGGCTAAATATTTCCCAACACAATAGAGAAAAATGATCAGTGAAAATATTCCAGGAATATGGAGAACAGGAAATATGATTCATAGAATGTGTCTGCGCAGATATTACCTGGTACAACTCATCACTGTGTCTTATGAAACATTTAATCTCTTCAAACATTTGAAGTGAGATTGTTTTGTGACAGGAAACAAAGGCCACTGTTCAATAATTTCACTCAATCATCCACTTCCACAGTTAATATTTACTCGGGTCGAAGCGACGGCAGAGAGGAGACAAGACTGAGGCTTTTGAATAGTATTATCTTTTCTATTCTGTCAAGGTCTGTCTGCGTGGAGACTGTGGCGAGTTATCAGTGCAGACACACGAGTTCTCAACTCCACACACACCTTTACTTCAGCCAATCACTGGATCAGATGTGCCATTCACAGGTGCATTTCTTACTTCATGAACTTATTTACAAGTGGGGAGACAAACAACCATTTACACTCACATTTACACCTCAATGGTCAATTCAAAGTTGTTGTTAAGAAATATGTTTCAATATATTTTTATGATACAATTTATGAAAGAGAAAAAGTTATTTCTCTACATATCCTTTACTCAATTCTAAAGACTTTTGCACTCGTTGGAGAATTCTAGAAAATGTCTTCCTCACAAGGTCACAACCTGTTTCTTTGCGTTACCTCTTTCATCTAAAAAAAATTAAATGTTTTATCAGTTTCAGAGACAAAAATAATAATCTAAAGAAGTCAAGATTTTATTTCCTGATCAAATTAAATGCCGCTCTGCTCAGCGCTTGACAACAATATAATGATAACTTGTCAAAGCAGTTTGAGTTCTTAAAATCAGACGGTTTGTCGTTATAATGCCACTCTAACAAGACGCCGACTTTCAATCATCTTCCCACAGGCCTTTGGAGACAATCAAACAACAGAACCATGTGATTTCCTTCCTGTTGCTGAGCTACATTCAAACTGCTATGAGCAGCTCAGATGATGGAGGTGTGAGGGGGCCGAGAGAAGGTGAGGCAAAACAGAAACAAACACGACTAACTATTTGCTGCTGTGACCCTGTAGCATTATTTAATTCTGGTGTTGAACATTAGCTGGAGGGGCGGGGGGGCAGCGTGTTTGACTGTCCTATCACGGTGTTTAGCTATGCACCTCTGATTACTAATGCATCGCTTTGGGCTCCAGCAGTTTCTAGTGGTACTCTGTGCAGAAACAGAATCTCTAGTGATGTTAGGCAACCGTAGAGAAGATTAATGATTTTGGGCTGAAGCATCTCAAGCAGGCCACTGTTTCTGGCTGATGGGGAGAACATCAGCGAAGCTCCGATTGTCAGGGGGATAGAAAACCCCCCACAGCATCCATCACCTTCACACCGAGGAACCCTGTGTCCTAACAGCACCCCGGCATTTTTTCTTTACCAAAAACTCCTGGCACAAATAACAGCAATAAATTGTCCCTTCGGCTCCGTGCACGCCACAGCGTCTAATGAGTCTGAGTGCTGCACGGCAGAGCTATTTATTTGTCAACTTGACATATTAATCTTTTATCCGTTTTAGGGAAGCCTTGTTCGTGTTGTTCTTTTTTGGTTAATGGTGGTGTTATATCCGACTGACACCCGTAATGTTGTCTCACCGCCTTTCTCCATTGGCTCGGTCTCAGGGTTTGACGCTCAGATGTTTGAAAACACATTTGACAGGTTGTTCTATACAACAGTCCAAAAGTCGTAACACAGTTTCACACCTGGAGCAGTTTAGGTAACAGCTAAAGGTCGTTTAATATATTACTGCAGATGGCAGAGGAGGCTTTTCTGTGGTCAGAGAAATTAAATATAAATGCTTTTTCTTCTAAACTCAACTTACAAGACCAACAAACATTACTACCAGATTAGTCCAGGGCACTTTTTTTCCACGCTTGAGGCATAAACTCTACAAACTAAATCTGTAATTACACATCTGTTAATGATATTCATGTTTATCCAAACAACTGTGACCTGGAACATTAGAAAGGTGAGCAGAATAAATATTACCAAAGAAAAAAAACCCTTTAATTATCTGCTGTGTTGCCTTGTAACTGAAGAGGGGAACATGAATCAAAAAGGTCAGACGAAAAAAACAAAACTATGACCCTGCTGATTAGAAAATGTGTCTTATAGTCAAGGAGTCGGGAAAAATGTTTTACTAAAGGCAGACTATGTATGCATGAAAATGAAGTCTATTTAAACATATAGATTTTTTTAGATGCCATTGTTTGAAGAAAACAGGTACTTTCAGTATAAACAAAAACGTTTTAAAATGCTTAGATATAAAGAGACACTGTGGTGCGTTGTGCATACGTCAATTCATATTGCATAGTTCCTGCAATGATATTTTGAGCAAGACAAAAAAAAGCAGAGTAAATGAAAACGACAACAGTGAAAAATTACCTTTTCTTCTGATGACGGTCCTCGGTGATGTTGCTGGATGCTCCTTGGAGTAACAGCTGCCAAATCATCTGAGGGAGAGAAGATACATAAATGTACACAAATCTAAGGTGCAATAATGTGCACAGTTTTTGTCTCAACCTTTCCTTCAGGAAGAACATTGTCACTTTTTAAAAAAAAAACCTGCCTGACGCCACATTTATAAACCATGTCTTCTCCTGCAGCACATGTGACCTTTGATAAATCAAAGCAGCAGAAATAAGCGCTGACTAATGGAAAACAGTGGGAGTGAGGTTTGGGCACAGTGAGCTCTGAGAAAAAGTCAAACCAGTCATGATGACCCTTTGTTCAGTATGACGTGGTTGAGAGGGAGCCAGAAAAACCAGAGCAAGAAATAAAGTAATAGATAAATACATTGAGCCCTAAAACAAGTGCCCAGTAAAAATGTTTTATTAAAAATAAGAGTGCAGGCTGAGTGTGGCCTGAACTCCTCAGACTGCAGTGTCACTGTGGTTCTTCACCAATACAAGTCGAGCTTGATAGCTGGTTGAAACAAGGACTACTTGACATGTGGGTCATGCCTCGCACTTCACAATTCTCAACCATACACTCTCTCCCAATTAAATGTTCTATTTATTCTGCAAGATTTCCCATCTCTCCATTTGCTTTTACTGCCTCTGCTCACCTGCAGCGCTGCTCTTAACACTTCAGCCCACCTACAGGACAGACGAGTTCAAATATTTGTTCATGACTCCCCGTTACCTCAGGTTTATGATATATTGGAGCATGATTGTGCCACGATAGACCTAAAAAAAAAAAAGTGAGCTGTCTGGCTGAACTTTTTGCTATATATCAAAAATCCTAAACCTCAAAGAAGAGGGCTGAAATAAAATAAAGTCAAAGAGGAGAGCATCACAGCGAAAAATGAACAGAAAACACAAAGGGAACAGAGGGAGCAGGAACAGGAAACTACACAGAACAGACAAACCGCTGGGGAGCACAGTGACTGAATACACCAGGGAGGGAGGGATAAGTGAACGCAGGTGAATCAGGGCGATGCAGACAAACAACACAACAGGAAAACAACACAAAAAAGGCTTGACCTTATAGAGCGACATTTTTACAATAGAAATGGCCCTGAGAAGTAGGAAGTAGAATATTTGCCCACATAGAAATCATATTTGATTTGGCAAAATAATTGAGTACGGTTTGAGGAAGCCAAAATTTGATGTTTACGTCGTTCTATACATGCATTGACAAATTATTCCGAACATCTTAATATGTACAAAAAACAGCAACTAAGTCAAAGCCCTGCAGTAGCATCTCTGCCTTCTCACATATGATGTCATGTAATGATATCTTTAAAATAAAACTCTGCAAGATGCATGGCTGAAACTTAGCACCTGTGCTGGAAACTATTTATTTAAAAAAGAAAAAAAAAACAAAAATGTGAATTCAAGGTGAATTTCATAAAGAAAAACGGTCGAGCCGTCAGTTTGAGTCCCATACGCTCTTTTTACCTGTTTACAGGAAGTTCTCAGGGGACCCACATGAAGGCTATATAGGTATTAGCAACACATATGGTAACTGCTGACTTAATATTTTGTATCCATGTCACATGTTGCTGCTTCAGAAAGTGTCCAGTGTCCTCTGATTCTTGGCAGACTCTCCGCCTAATCAAATTAAGTTGATATGGAAGCTCATTTCCTTTCTCTTTCCTCCTTCTGTCTTCTATCAGACCATCCCTGATTTGACCACCTTCTGCCGACACACACACACACACACCCTGAGTATTTCCAGTCCATGACCTAGTCCATGCTCAAACTCCCCATTGTCTCTGCTGCCATTAATCCTCCACCCCACCAAGCCAAAGAGGACATTGTTATCAAGGATGGCAGAATACCCAGGGCCTCTCCCTTCCTCCTCCTCCTCCTCCTCCTCCTCCTCCTCCTTTACTCCGATATCCCGGTCTATTTTTGTCCCCATGTCTCTCTGCTTTCAGCAAAGTGCCTCTGACGTCTTCTTCTGCACTAAACAGATGAGGGATGTCAGTGATGGGTATTCAGCTGAAGGTCCCACCACAAACAGATAGAATTTAAATAATGCCTTTTTTATTCCATCAGATTATATTCTCCCCTCTCCCCCCACAATGGGTTTTCTACTAAAGGGTTGTCAGTGGATGTGTGACAACGGGTGTTTAAAGTCACCATCGCCCTGACTGTCATTAAAGTGATGGGGAGTTATTTTGGTGTGAAAAAGCAATTAGATAATGAGACATAAATGTTCAGTGGGAGCAAGCAGGGAGAAGGGGTTGATGGAGTGCCGAAAGGACAAAGGGGACAAGGAGTAAAGAGATCAGAATGGGAGTGGATTATTCACAAATATTCATCAATAAAAGCGCTGACTCACCAAGACACACGGCCTATCACAGACTACAACCATCACTAACAAACAAACACACAAGCAGAGAGTGACGTGGATAGTTGCTCCACTGATGCTTCATTATCAGTGCTTTTATCATAAAGACTTGTTCAAATAAACCGGATAATAGAATAAAAAAAGATCAATTATTTAAAACTATAAAGCGACAGACTGGAGGCAGTCTGATGATGTGCATTTGTTCCTAATGTGTTGTTGTAAGAAGCATAAACCCAGTTGCTCCGTCCAATGAGTGTTCCCTGGGAAGACGCAGGTTGAACGTTTAATGCCATTTTAATAGTCACAGCCTCTGGTCACAGATGGCATTTTGTAGATCTGACCATATTTCCGTAGCGTGTGTCATTCAGTCTCCACGGCATTTGCCTGGATTGACATATCACTCCCATATGTTGAACTGCGGCCGTATACTGTGTCTCAGTATGAACACCAGGGTCACGTGCTCCACTTGCCCAAAGGCTAAAGTTAGTAGGAACTGTAGGAACTGGTGATTGGCAAAGCCTGATAATCCCATCTAGAGAGCGTCCATTTGATTATTCAGTATGGATTATGGTTACAGTAGTCCATATCAACAGTGGTTATATAACAGAAGACACATGCAGGGTCAACGAGAGGCTCAGGTTTAAACGCCTGCAAACAAAATCAAATATTGCCATGACAACCAAAGGAAAAACAGTCTACTCTATTCTACATTTCTCTAAATAATTTAAAAATGCATTCTGACATTCAAACTGTGCATTTGTTACAGTGAGTGAAAAGGGGAAATCTGACCATTACAATATGTGATGCTATTGTTTCAGCAAGGACCCAGTTTCCTACTGTTTGAAGGGCAAGTCCGACTGATCTAAAGCCCAGATTTAGATCTGGTTTTCGCCTGTTAAAATACAGCATCCAATCACAAAGTATATGCAACATTTAATGGTATCAAGCTCAGTCTCTGTAAAAGAACAGTGTTAACTCCAGTGTTTGTACAGGCAGACATAAATATCTCTGCTGCTGTTGACGCTGCTGTCACTCTGTAACTGTGATGCCCTCACTAACAGTAGAATCTTTTTATCCTTTGTTTTTTTCTATAGACATCACCGTGTGACCCTGAACAGAGGGTTAAATAAGTGTCATGTCAAATCTGTCGTATTTGATGGCAGTTCATTTCTAAAAAAGAAAACCTGAATGGACGTATTTCTACCTGTGAATTCACTCTTAGCAGAAGGACAAGTTTAGCGTGCTAATGTGGGCCACGTCTGACCAAGATAACCCTGGCCCAGTCAATACAGATGTAGACCTGTGCTACAGCAAATGTGGGCCAGATCTGGCAAATGGGAGCAATCATTGCATGCAAGGTAGTGCATGAGGACTTTAGGGTGTCACATTTGGCAGATGTGGGCCAGATTTGAGCCACAGTGGTATTGCTAAGGTGATGAAAGAACAGGTGATGGATATGATAGGAGAGGAATGGAGAAGAGGAGAGAAGAAAAGAAGAGGAGAGGAGAGGAGCAGAGGGGTGAGGAGTGGAGGGAGTATGACTCAGGTCTTTGAATTTAGACAGAGGTCTTACACAGAAATTAAATCATTAATTGTCAAGGGGGATTTGGTCATGTGTGTGTGTGTGTGTGTGTGTGTGTGTGCAGACCAAGTCCATTATGAGCCTGGTGGAGAGGCTGCAGAGAATAACACACAGCGTTACTCATCAGAATTAAGTGGAATCAGCATCAGATGTAACAGTAGCTCTGGAGGGCCATCACCACAGCTCTGGGGGGTTTTCAGCGAGGGGAAAGTAGAAAAGAAATCACTTCTCACCGCGTGAGGAACACGTCTGTGTCCTCTGAGGAGGAGGAGGCCTCGCAGTCAATGGCAGCCACGTAAGCAGACGGAGTCAGATTACATCTCCCCCCACAGCTACTCCTGATGAAGTGTCCTTGAACAATAAAATCAACTCCTCCCATACACTCCAGACCCTGGGGATTAAGACAAAGGGTAAGTAGACATTTTGAAAGGACACTTTCCTTAAAACAACAACAACAAAAAAAAGAAGCTTAAGCTTATAGAATATTCATTAGTCTCATTATGTGCAAACTACAGTACATCGGAGAGATGAAAATTGGTTTCTATATTACATTTTTACCCCAATTGTAGCCAATCCTGCAATAATGAGAGGGCGACTGCCAACACAGAGAACAACAGACGAATCAGCCAAAACCATAACCTCTATGGTGAAGGTAATTATCACCAAACTCTACCACAGAGTCTGGCTCCGTGCAGCAGAGGGTGAGCCAGCAAAAAGCTCTCGTATCTCACAGAGGCCAACAATGGAAAGGCACAAACTGTGACAAACTGCCAAATATAGTAAAACTAAACAGCCAGATGTTTCCCTGTGGAGTGGCAGAAAACAAAAACAAAAAGACCTTGAGTGGTGAATAAACGATAAATGAGCCTCTTTGTAACTTCTAACGTGTTACATTTCTCTTGTCAACTTTAAAGATAATGTCAATGTTTGTACATTTTTTATTGCTCGATTCCCTGCAACTAGAAAATCATTTGTTGCAGATGAATGACTGTCAGGTGAAGTGCCAAGATCAAAACCTCCTGTTTAAATCCAGCTGGAGTCAGCAGCTGATTTGACCTGAAGAAGTTATGACTTATTGAAGTTGTATGTAAAGAAATTCCAGACTGAACTTATGCTGTTATAAAAACTCTCTCTCTCTCCATAAGGCCGACTCTGCTGCCGTTGATTGGGGTTCAGAGACTCTGTGCCACACAGACACACACACACACACACAAGTAACCCTCACTGGAGGTGGCAATTAGACTTGTGCATAAATGAAGGCAGATGTATGCCACCTAAGTCTCGAGGTCAATTAGCTGTGACAGCAAAAGCCAGAAAATAAAACTCAATTAATGAAAGGATTTGCTCGTTATCACTGCAGCAACTGGACAGAGTTACACTGAAAGGTTTAGTGCTGTGAGGTTAAATGAGGAAACACAGACGACAAAGGGACCTACAGATCGTTAGGCAAGTGGTTAACGAGCTAGATCGTTCCTCTGACACATTGGATGGATAATGGATGGATGGATGGATATATTGATGGATGGATGATGGATGGATGAATATATTGATGGATGGATGGATAGATGGATGTATAGATGGACAGATTTAAAAACAATATTTTCATCACTCACCCCATTTGAATTCCTGGCGACCCCACCTGGGTTCACAAGCCCAAGGTTAAAAAACATTGGCCTGGAAGAAAACCCACTCCACTACACTTGGGACAGAATGTTTTAAAATCTCATCAAACATGCAAAAGAGTCTCAGCACTGAAGACAATTAGCTTTCATCTTCACATAAAAGAGAGAAAAACACAGGAATAGCCTGCAGCCACGGTACACACACACACATTTGCTTCACATCTGGTGTCGGGGAAAACTCCTGATACTACAAACTCACAGATGACATTAGACAAACCAACACGATGCTTTAAAATGTTCCTTCCAGGTTGGACTTTGACTTGACACAGCCATTGCTCACTGTTAGTGCAGCCCTAGAACAGGACCAGGATTCAAATGTTTTATTTAAAGCAGCTCATTATGTAGGAAACATGTCTATAATTAAGAGGAATGTCAGTAAACCTTTGCTGAAGGGTCTCAACCAAACACTACTAATCCAAACACTACTTCAACAAATCATGATATAAACATAAGATAGAGGCCAAAGGAGAAAGAGATTAAATTTAGGGATTAAGCATAATCCTTCTTAAGAGAAGAATGTCATTTAACACTTAAAGGATCTACTCTAATTAAAGATTATATTTAGGAAGTGTAGAAGGAAATATGTGAAAGACAAGAAGACCATTCTCCAGAAGAACGAAGTGGATTATTTTGACAAATGTGCAGTATGAGATTAAGACCATGTTTTTTTCCCTGTTGATCCTCAATGCAACACAGAAGTTTAATGGAGAGTAGTTGTTTTTGTTACTGAAAAAATAAGGGTTTGTGCACAACAATATGATGTAAAATTTGCTCCTTTATCACAACATTAAAGTTAGCGCAAACAATCACTACACCTACAGGCACTAACACTCACACACGTCCAGGGAGACAAACACAAATCACAGAAAGGATTGATTCTGCATAAGACTAACATGAAGCAGCCATGATGCCTCATCACTGTAAAGATTCCATAGTTCAGGTTGCATAGGAATGTGCTGATGCTAATGCTACTAACAGAGATATCTAATCAATGAAAACACACACATGCATGCGCACACACATACACACACACTAACCTTGGGTCGACTTTATGACTTTACCATGCAATCTCTTTGAAACACTTGACAAAACCATCAGCGGCATTTCTCAGCAGGGTGCACATCATTCTTGTGCAAGAACGTGTTAATAATCTTTGAGTATGTGCTTCAATCCAGTACAGGGAACTGCAGTGACAGAGCAGGAGGCAGGAGAGGAGGAGACCTCTATTTTTGGAGACGGTATTCTCATGGCATCCCAGGGCACAGGGCCACTGTGGGCTCCCCCTCCTCACATGGCAGGAGGTGAGCAACAAAAGATCAGTCAGTCAGAGAGAAAAATATGGATTCATATTTAGGAGACTTTTAGCTGAGAAACTGCAAAAAAAAAAAAATTCCAGAAGCTAGTCTTTGTAAAGATGTAGGTTGCAATCTGAGGGAGAATTTCCTTGTGCCCTCAAACTGAGTGACATCTGCTGATTCACTTTGTGTCTGCTGTGAAACGACTAAGGACAAAAAGAACCACAGAAAAAGCAAAGCCATTGCATCCAAGCCTTTTCCTGTTGCTGTGACAACAACAAGGACAAGAGGAGACAACCTTGGATGCCGGACAGCTTTGTGACGATACAATACTGGCTCTCTGACGAAGGCTGTCACTATTGCTGTGCAGCAACGCTGATTCACGCCGCACACAAATTCCATCTGCAGAGAGGAGATCTGAAAAAGCTTTATTCAGAACTGGCAATTTATTTTTATGAGTGAATTAAGCATCTACTCCAATCACCAAAGCTGCTAATGGGAGACGGAAATCATGCCTTTGTGGGCAAGCTCATTCTATTAATTTCAGTGAAACTCCACAATTGAATTTGGCCAATCAATGGTTGAATGATGAAACAAATGAAAGCATCACAAGTAACATTATCTGGACCAAATACTCTGAACGCAAGGATGCTAATCTCAAATTTGCAATGTTCAGCCATGGTCTGTGGTCACACTAGTCTGATTCTGCCCCACTTAATGCAAGCTGAAAATCAAGCACATGCACACCATGCCCACAACACACTATGTCTACCACATTTAAATAATTTGAGGGGACTGATACCTGTCATTGTTCCACATCCAGAAAATTATGTCATGTTGACTCTCTGAGATTCCAAGGGAAAGCTGCTGCCAGCTAACATGCTAGTTAAGGAAATGCATGTTCTCTGTACGATCTATTCAATCCACTCCGCTTTTGTCCTGACTTTTTGGAGTCTGTTGTGTGCATTGCGTTGTTAATTATAATAAACATTAATCCAAGACAATTTAGTTTCTCACTGAAAGCAATAATATGGCAGATGTGCAAATGTGTCGTGTAAAAATTGTCCATTATAGCTTGGTTCTGCGATGATACTGAGGATTTGTATTAGCAAAAGCATTCATTATATTTCCCTTGAACTAAAATTGGGCCCATTCAATAATAATTATGCTTTCTTAAAGTCAGAAGCTCGTATTAATCAATAAGGTAGTGATAAATGGCCTCTATAGAAAAATTGCTAACTATAAAAGTGTAGGGGAAAAAAGGGCACAGTGATTCCTTTGAAAGCTATGAATAATGTTTCCTCTCCATGTCAGTGCTGAGTCATAGACTTTAAGCTGGTCTAACACGAGATAAAACGCAAGAACTTTAGCTCTGACAGAAGCTGTGCCGGAGAAGCACCCAAGGGTACTGCATCATCCAGCTTCCACAGAGGTCAATTCTTCATCTGAAATACAGCCACTGGCTGAGCTTGTGTCGAGGATGACATCTTGTGGTACAAAAAGGCACTTCACCTCAATAAAACCTTGACCGATTTGTTTTTGTAAAGATAAAAGAACTAATATAAACGAAACGTTCAACAAAATGCACATTTTAATCAATATAATTAAATATGTATTTTATAATATTTTAATAGTTTCATAAATTAATCAAAAATTGCTGCTAATTTAATTAAATTTAATTGTTCAGATCTGCTTATTTGTTAAATACTGTAGCCTTCTGCCAACATGTCAGTTAAAGGCTGAATAAACTGTCAGAATGACCTTGACTTCCTGATAAATATTCACTGTTCCAGCAGTGTTGTCTGAGCCAGGATGAGTCATAAAAGCAGCTCTTCCTCTGGTTACAATGGTTGGCTACAATACACCATATGGACAATGGGAGGTTTTATGACATCTCATAGGGAATTAACAACACCAGGATATAGGAAAAGTAAAACCTTAACAATAACAGCATTCACAATTCACAAAACAGGTTTGTAATCCACACACTAAGTAAATCACAGTCAAAAACGAACCAGTGTGTGGATGCCACTTTTAACAGGTGTGTCAAAATGATGAAACGGTGTAAAATTTAGACAAAAAATGTATATAACATTATAATATTGAACAATTAGAACAATGATTTGTTGAGTGTGAATGAATGAGTATATGATTGTTTTTGTTGCTAAAATGTTAATTTCCTGTCAGAATCTTGTAATTTGTTGGTGTCATAAATACTTCAGTGTGTTGCTGTTTCTTCTCAACCATTTACCTTTAGCAACTAGTATCAACATTTATTACTACAGAAATGAGTAGAGATGACAAAAAGTCCATAATACGAATTCCAGTAGCTTCAGGTACTGGGAGAACATTATACGTAGTGCTCTTAAACAGACTCCATTCACCAATTATCACCTGTTTTACTCTGAATTGAATTCAGCTGATGGGAGTTTATATAATGAAACATATTACTGCTAACTTTTAGCATTTTCTCATCGTAACGGACTGACCATTTGTCCACAAAAGCAAGGTAAGTTCTCCATTCAAACGTTCGTTAATATTTTTTAAAAGCCGTCTCAACTCCACATGACGGCAGTGGGGAGGAGTTCAGGAAAATGTGAAAATTTACAGCGTTTGGCGATGGGAAAAAAGTGAAACTTACTTTATCTTGGATTGTGGGAGTTGTAGTTATACGGCATCCGCTGCCTTATTCGTTTATATTCAAGGCCATGTACTAAATGCACAAGTCAACTCATTAACCCAGTATTATTGACAGAAACCTTGTCGTGCCCTAACATTATGTAACTTACGGCCGATTCTATTAAAGCCACGTGTACCTGGTCAGCAACACTTCATGTCCCAGAATTCCCCGTAAGCTCCAGGTGTCTTTTGGGAGTCGTAGTCTACAAACGGGAGTCGTTTCCGTGTATCGAGCCAAAGCGTTCGGTGGAATCTGCGCTGATAAGAAAAACGCACATGAGATTATTGATCAGGTATAACTATCACATCCTGCCTATTGAAGTAATGGATCGTATTAATCAGATTGATCATTTTATGATGTTGTCTCTTCGTGTTTTTTTGCAAATCTTTAAACAGTCAGGATTTTGCTTACATGTCGATGCATTTCCTTTTGTTCAGCTAGCTTTTATGTGTAGAAACGCAGAAAGCAAATGTCCAGAATTGTTAGTGTTTTTAATAAACTGTCTTAATAGGCTCATTAACATGAACTGTTGTACCCACGGTGTCCCTGTTTAGACACGCCTCAGCTAATCACGGCCTGTATACTGTATGCCCGTGTTTATTCAGGCAGTTCATGGGAAGTTACATTATTTAGTCGCTATACAGTTACTGTGTAAATATAAAACCAATAGTCAGGCATTAGCCATGGCTACCAATGTTAGCATAGGCTTGTCGCAGCTACCTTGTTTACATCCGGTAATGGAAACTGTTTTACTAATTTAGTTAGGTTTCTCTGGCTGAGGCTGGCTCTGTAACAAACCGCTGTAGTATTATATTGAAATGACACACAAAGTATTTCTTGTTCTTATGAATCAAGGTGTCAGGTTACAGGGTAATGAGCGTCAGCTGGCCTTGACAGCAACACTAACTCACTGTTGTTACTCACAGGGCTGTGTGAATTTATGGAAACATGTCAAAGAAACGCGGCAGGTAGGTTGAAACTACACTCTAATTTCATCACAGTACATTGACACAATGGACACGCATCAGTCCGGATGTTCATGAATACTTCTACAGACTTTAATTTAAACCCACTGGATTTCCCCAGTGCTCTTTATAAGTTATTTTCAGTCTGGTAGACCTGGAATGCTTTTCTGGCACGAACTGAAATCTAGTTCTTTGCAGCTGGACAGGACAGTGATTGCAATCAAGGTCATGTAGGTTTAGACAAATGGACTCAAAACATTAGAAATAATATGATAGTGAAGATGCAAAAGGTGCAATTGGCTTTGTAATTAATCATGATTAATCTTATGTTTTAAATCGACATTTCTGTATATTGCTGGAACAGAAAGGTGAATAACAGCAGGTAGAATGTATGTGCACACAATGCCAATCTTGATCAAACAGCGTACACAAACAATGTAAATGACAATAAGTGTAATTTTGTCATTTTTATGTTATTTTTATGTAAATAAAATATAAATTCTAATAATAATAATGCTGTGATTGGCTCCATCTTGCCCTTAATAATAATAATAATCCTCTTACTCTTTATAGGAAGCGAAGTAGCGGAGAGCTCAGTGAGAGCTCGGCGTCAACTCTGAGCCCAGACCCTGACAACCTGCTTGGTCGCCGAATCCAGCACACATGGAGGGAGAAGGGTAACGTGACCAAGTGGAAAGGCACTGTTCTGGAGCGTCTAACTGTGAACACCTCCCTCTACATGGTCAAATACGATGGCTTTGACTGCATTTATGGCATCGAGCTGTTCAAAGATAACCGTGTGTCCAACCTGCAGGTGCTGTCAGAGAAAGTTGGTGAGTGCTGAACCAGTTTTGCAGGAAGATTATTAAATACAGATGATTAAAAGTACATTGGAATGTAGATGGTGATAGTACAAAATATCGTGGCGTAACCAGAATTGTTTTAAATCTCTCAAATGTAGTTGCAGACCAACAAAACCGAATCATAATGGGGAAAAATGAAATTGACAAAGTAAAAAGCTTAGTTCAATTGACATTTTAAATGAACAAACATTATCAGGATAACCTAATTATTGCCAAGCTGGTTACTAATTCCCCCGCAGTAATGAAAATTTAATAAGGAAAAACTGCTCGTCAAGAACTTGGGCTCCGTCTCCTGGTTTAAAGGCTCACTGGTATGCTTTCCTTTTTTTTAAGTGAATAATAAGGTCAAAGTGCCACCTGGGGCAGAGGAGCTGGTTGGCCGTGCAGTGGAGCATCTGTTTGAGAAGGAGGACGGAGAGAAAAATGAGTGGAGAGGGATGGTGCTGTCCAGAGCGCCTATCATGACCCACTGGTATTACATCACCTACGAGAAGGACCCAGTGCTCTACATGTACCAGCTTTGGGACGACTACAAGGACGGAGACCTACGTGTCCTCCCAGAGTCAGGTAAAAGAGTGATAGCCTTTCTTTACTCTTGTTATATTATTTACTCTATTATACAATATCTCACTGTTTTTTGCCCTGTACAGTTTTGCAGCTGTTCTGTAAGATCTCTGCCCAAAAAACCTTGTGGACAATAAAGTATTTCTATTAGTAGTATTTCATATTTTTCTCTGCTTGCACAATAAAGAGAAATGAGACATTTTAACACTGTTTAACCATTGTTTAACTGATGAACCAAACCAATGCTGTGTACATGAATACCCAGAGAATGTTTTATAGTTGTCAAAGTTTTAGCTTCAAACTGCAGATCATTTACTCTCTTCATCTTACTGTATTTCTGTTTCTGGCAACTGTTCAAATCCGTCTCCAGGGAGAAGCGACTGTTTCTAAAACCTGTCTTGTTTTTTTTTTCTTTGTCGACTACTCAGAAAACAAACACTTGCTGCCAGCAGACAGGAAGCCTGGTGAGGAGCCAGAGAGCCTTGTGGGTAAACAAGTGGAATATGTCACAGATAATGGTCTTAAGAGAACGGGATTGGTCATCTACCAGGTTCCAGCCAAGCCCACTGTATATTACATCAAATACGACGATGACGTTCACATCCATGTCTACGATCTCGTGAAGACCACCTAGTACATTTGGACTTCTTGGTTTGTGTTCAAACTCCAACCGGCCGTTACCTGTTTAAGTGTTAGAGATTCCACCGAGGGAGGAAATGTGTTGAGAGTCAAAAGCTCATGTTTCGTTCTTCACACTCCCCTGGGTTCTTAGTCTCACATTTAAGTCGACCTTCTTATTTGAATATTACTTAACCTTTTAAGACTGGTTGTTCGACCCACAGGGGGAACAGGCATTTGATTTGGTTTGATCACATTTGTATAGTGCAACTTTCAAACACCAAATTCATACTTTTTGTATACTAAAATGATGTAACTTAAAAAAGAGAGTTTTCTTACTGGTTCCTCCTATGTGTTGTTCATATTGCATTTCAGTTTTATATGCCTGTACCTTTAAATTCATATGAGCTTTCCTGGCTGTGTTAATGGTCTGGTGTGCTTCTTGTGTGTTTCTCACTGGGCATCCGTTTGATGAATTTACTGGTAATTAATTTACCATTGTTTCATAAGGCCAGGTTTCAGATGAGTTGTGTTACAGGCACTGGTGAAGCTCTTAAACTTGTGTCTATTAAACAAAGACTCATCTAAACTTGTGTATCTTATTTTTGTTTTTTCTAATTTTTACATTACAATGGCATATCACAAGAAAAAGAATGTGATGTTGATGTCCAGTTGTTTCTGTGGTGTTTGTGCTAAGCACTGTTTATGTTGTTCAATTTGGCCCCCAATATTGTTCAGTATTTTGGACTGACTTCTTTATTATATGCCAAAAAAAAAAGATTAACACTATTACAAATTCAGGACCGAAAAAATATTGTTTCTTGTGAACCTAAATATGTTTTGTTCTGTAAATATATTGTTGAGACATTTTTATGAATATAAAAAAAAAACTGCCTGAACGTGTTTGACTCCTGTGGTTTGTTGTTACACTGTTGCTCGCAGTACTGTGGATATTTTTATCCTCTCAGTGCCGCCTGCTACATAATGGGAGTAAGACGATCAATACATTCATTATCTACTGGCCATTATCAAGTACAGTTTACAGACAACTCAGCATCAACCACTACACTGGTCCCTCATAGCATCATTCAGTGGCAGGTCCAATAGAACAGAACAGTCAAACCCAGGAACCCAGTGGTGTTTCTCTTAAACCCTGTACACTTCACCAGTCCGTTGTAGTGTCACATATATAGAGACCAACAACCATTCATGTTAATGGGCAACTGAGAGTGTCTGATCAACCTGATCTGATGATATTAAACTGTGGGAGGAAACCCACGCCCACAGGGAGAACATGCAAACACCGTACAGAAAGATAAAGTAGGGATCAAACTACTGACATTTTCCACCGTGTGGCCTGACTTGTGTTTTATTTTTTTCATAACCATTACCTTTGTGGGCTGTTTCTGCTAACTTAGAGTTATGATTAATCTTGATACATCAATATTCTTAAAAATGACAAATATACATATATATATTAAGGTTGAATCATAATTCTTTGTCATTTTTTATAATGACTACTTGCTTACGAAGTTGAATTGTGTCAGGGTGACTAAACACCTAAGGGTCCTGCAGCTCAGGTGTTCATGTGTGACAACACATCTGATTACTGAGGAAGCACTCAATCGTAATTGAACTGCAGCAGGTGTGAGAAGACCTTCACAAGTCCTGTTTGAACATGTGCCGTTCGAACTTTGACGCCTGTAAAACAGGAAGAAAAAAAAAGCATTTGTCTTGTCTTAGATACAAGAAAGGTCTGTGTGTCTATTTATAGAGGCTGGTTTTGTGCTGATCTCAAGTACAATCAAACTTTGAAGGTCTAAATATTGGTCCTACATCTATACGGTGAAACAGAAGCCCTCACTTACTTTTCCTCTTGCTGATTCCACAATCATCAATCAGGACTTCATGCAAAAACGTGATTCCTTATCATGAGTCAACTGTTCAAATCAGATCCAAGGTGAAGCCTGATCAAAAAAAGGGCAGCAATAAAAATCCCTGCATTATGGTTCTAAAAAGTCAAGTGACTCAAGCCTCTAATTCTGCTGCTTTGCCTTTTCCTTCCTCATTTTAATCAAATTTCTGATGAGCTCCTGTATTTAAAGGCCACTGAAATCAAAAAGATCCATTACCACGGTCTTTAATTTGGGAGAGGAGACATTCAAATGTCTGTTTATCTGCTCCATGTAGGATTAACATTCGTTTCCTTATTTATTACTGCGTAATTATATCTGAGTGCCGTCAAAAACGCTGCAGTGCAACAGGCTGCCTCCTGTCTCCAGCAGACGCATATTACAGGAAATAATGGCACACTGTTAGAGCTTACATATATTTGTTCGTGGCACTGTACACCCCCAACATTATATTGCATTATTATACACTCACATCATCAATTTAAAGTGACTTTCTGATTGCATGTTTTAACACAAATGACTTACTGTATGCAGACCCTTTGAGGCTAGGCTAAGTTTAGCTCATGGATACCTAAATCCAAATCTTAAAGGTCCACAAATAGTTCAGTGAATTCCTAAAGGGATCATAGCTCCTGCTTCAAAAGCAATGTTAAAATGTACTACCCCCCTCATCCCCCCTTTTCACCCCTGCCCCCAAATGCAATGCCACTGCTGCAGGACTCTACATCCACACGGAAAATAGAAATAAATAAATAGCATACATCAATAGAAAAGTCAGATTGGCTGATGTACCTGTTTGACCTCCCTTAAATGACTGATGGGAGACCACACATGTAAAGACTACGTGGATGTTAGATCACATGATTTACCATTTCATAGTTTATTTCATGATTGTCAGTTGTCCAACAGCAGCAGAACTATTACAGACATGAGCCTGCTCAGATAAGAGTGCTTATTTCATGCCAGTCACACTCTGCCATAAGGCGGTGGCGCCTGTGTCTGATGACATGCTTGATGTGTGTCTGTTCATCAAATGTCAGCGCTGCTTTGATGAAGAACAGACATCTTTCTCTCCTCGTTCCCTGCCCTTCCTGATCACACATGTAGCCACATGCTGACTGCTGACTGCTGACTGCCTCTCACGCCCCCAGAGTCTCTGTGAGGTGTCAGGGCGCTGCTGCCGCTGCTGAAGGCTGCCAGTACAGACATCGGGGGAACAGTTGGCATACCATCACACCAGAATGATCGCCCAGATAGTAATACAAAAGGAGGAGGAACTACATGCTCCAAACCAAATGTGTCGGATGCAGTTTGATACAACACTGTTCCCTACCTGCAACTGTTGTGAGAGTTCCCCCTATTCAGATACCTGGGTCACTGTATATAGAAAATTAGCTTTGATTCATTTAGACCAGGACATGAAAAGCTGACTCAAGCCAGTGAGCGGCAGTCAGCTGAGCAGTGTAGAGTACAATTATCTCCACAGCAGATAATTTGCCTCCATCTCACTCTTGGCTTCATCTCCTCTGCTCTTACACCACTGCACTCTATCTGAGAAATGGTCAGAGCTATTTCAGTAACGGCTTTGAAGGCGAAGGGAAGATCATGGACTAAGACTAACATTCTGCTGTTTTTACAAGTATTTCACTTTACGTGAAGGTGGAAAAATAAAAATCAGGCAGTAAACATCAGTCACACAAACCTGGACGATAATGTCGTCAGAACAATGTTAGATTATTACATTTGATACAATTAACTATACGAAAAGCTGATGATTTGCTGAGATCGACGCCACCATACTTCAACCACTCATACACTTCATTTCCTGACACATTGTACTGCATTTTTATTTGCTAATTTAACAATTCCTTAAAATGGAACCCTTTTTTGATATTTCAAACTCATAGCAACAAAGAACAGCTTTGTGATTTTTCTCTCATTATCAATATCAATTCTGAGCGTCTTCACATTTGCCCCCTCCATCTCCTTCCTGGCTTTTAGGCAGTTCAAACCTAAAACATAAGTTCAGGTCTAATACATGGTTGTAAACCTTGATCACCATCTCACTCTCTCCATCATTCCATCACCCTTCACCCCTGACTCTTGTCTCCATCTATCACACATTTCCTGTCTTCTCTGTCTGTAGCTGCGGATGGTTTGTCCTAGAATTCCACTCCTTACAGCCTCCCATTTCCATCTGCTTCACTCTTCAGTATTCTCTCTTCAGTGCAGCCCTCCACCTCTCCTGACTCTCCTCCACCTGCTACCTACTCCCTCCGAAGACCCCAGCTTATCCATGTGTGGTCTGGCGTTATATTTATCTGTGATTGGTATTTTCCACCAATGACTAAAACCAGCAGGAAAGCAGCCACACTCTAACTCAAAGGGCTGAAGCGCGTTGCATTGATTGAGTTGGCTTTTCAAAGGGAATGTCTTTATGAATTTCACTATATAACCTTGATATTTACTCTGCCTACAAACGAGACATTACTCTCACCTTTGCATTTCTTTCTCTCTGTGAGTCTTTGTTATTACAAGCCCTAACTTAAAAGCCTTGAAACTTTGTCTGTTTTTCCATTGGCCAGTAGACAAATGTACTTGACTCTTTTGCGTTGCTTAGCAACACAAGGCAGCCCCTGATGTATAAATATATATATATATATGCAGAAAATAGATAGTGTATCCAGCATGATGCCAATCTGGAGGCTTATAACGTGCAGTGTGAATGAGACCATCCACAATACGTTTGAATTAAAATGCAGCGAGCTTCCTTGAGTGAAAGGAGGGCATATGCATCATGTTTGATCATTATAATTATCAGAGAAAAAGTTGGGCTTTGTATGCTATAAGGGTCGGCAGAGAAGAGGAGGAAGCATTGGTTCTGATCTGAAGCTTACAGAGAGGATGCTGGTCTCACTGTAAGCCTTTTAAGAAATTCATATTTTGGGCTAATGTGGTGGGATTCAACAGGACATGACTTTGTTTATTATGTGATCACAATTGATCTAAACATTTATTTACACTGCCCAAAATGTACAACTGCTTTTTTCTTCTTCCAAGCCTGAGTGTCAAGGTGAAGAACAATCACCTAAAAGACAGTAGAAACCCCGAGGGACAGACACAGAGGGAGGACGCCTCTTCACACTAAAATCTAGTCACATACATTCACAGATCCAAACCAGCATCATGACTGTTCCACTTGTTGATCTGTGTTTGTTTTACATTTTCACTTTCACTTCAAGTGACCTATATCGGTGTCCAATCTGCATATTATATATTTTATTTACTTTCTTAGTGTTTGCCTGAGGCACCAAAATGGCTAGAGCCCGCACTGAATAAGTTCACGCTGCATCTTGTTGGTTAGCATCTCACAGCTCAGCTGCTAACTTGTGCGGCTGACACATACTGTATCTTTCAAAGTGTGGTTTATGACACCAGTGTCATCATCTTCATTCATGTTACCAGTCACATCGTTGACAAACTCTGATAGCTGATCCGCTACAGTGATTTCATTTGTAATTTGTTATGTCATTTAAAGGAAGAGAGAAGAACGCAGTGTCAGATTTGTGAACAATGTCAGAACATCTGCATGAATTGTGTGATCAATCTTCACATATAAGAAGATTGATCACACAATTCATGCAGATGTTCTGTAAAAATGTTAAGAAATACATGCTAGCTGTTCATTTTGGTTTATTTCATATAGATGGAAAATATAATTTTCATATACATGAATTCCAATTCTCCTGGTTTTATTGCCCCTTTTCACATTCACTCCCACTTCTCTTTTCTACTACATCAGTACACATATGGCACATATAAGAACACGGTGTGTCAGTTTTCAAGGCTGACTACTGATTGAATTGATGCAGAAATTCAACGCTTTGAAAAGTTCAGCGTCGTAGTTTCACACCGGTTGAAGCGGACGTGGAGTGGAGCTCGCTGGTCGTGCTGAGAGGCAGACTGGGACTTGTTGTTCTTCAAAC